TTCTATCTTCATTTCAGCCGTTAACTATTCACTGTTGAGCATAAGCCTTCCCCATAAGGGGAGTTTTGCCAGTAGTAGCCACGCTTGGCTGGGAGGTTGGCAATAACAGTTAGGCTTTTAGAGATGTTTTAAGAGGGGCACTGCTGATCATCCTCTTATCTTATATATATAATATTTACTTTATTTTAGAAATAGTTGAGAAAGCAAGGTGGTTGTTTACTTAATAAGGGTAGCAGTAGTAACCATCCCTATGGACAGAAATAGCATACTCTTCAAAAATTGGGCTATAATACCTGCAATGGCTCTCACGTGTTACTAATTTCATAATACTGGGATGAATAGCATTTATATCCATGTATGAATTTTTACTTCACAGTCTATATTTTCTACACAATTTCAAAGAAGAGGATTTCATTGCATTTGAGCAGTATAACAATACTAATATTGTCCAAAAAGACTTCTTAGATATATTATAAAAATGTAAGATAAATATTAATATTATATTTTTGGCTTTTGGTTTTGTTAATTTCTCTTCATTTTTTGTATCTTTTTCAAACCAAATGCCAAAGTTCTCTATCCTTACAAACATCTCTTTCTTTATCATCTTTCATAACTTATTTTATAGCAGTAAAACTAAGAAAATAAATGATTAATTCTTACTTTTTACAACGAAATTGTTTTTAATGGAAAAAATAGTATAATAATTCAGGAAAATCTCAAGTTAATCTAGGACAGCTCTAATATCTGCATCTGTTCACTATTGTTAGTAATCATATAATGCTAGCAATAGGGATGTTAGTAATTTTTTAAGATGCCATTTTCAATTATTAAAAGCAAACTTGAATTGAAAGGGGAGGTAATTAATAATTACAGATTCTCACTATTTTAATATGTATTGCTAATACATGATTAAGAACAATAGTAAAATAATTCAAATGCTGAGCTTAAGTCTGTTACGTTTAGCTCCTCATGGTTCCTTTGGAAACCATCATGGTAAAATGCTTATGAATTCATCACAATGGAACAAAGAACTTGACTTCATGACTATTACCTATACATAGTCTTGGCTAAAAGTATTTGCCAACTTAGAAATTTACAATTAACTTAAAAAAATATTCAAGGTGTGGAGAGGAAAAAAAACATGTATTTGTATATGTAAAACACCTTTAATGCTAAAATTACGATAATATTTTGTATTGAAACCTTTAGCTTTAATTACAGCATTTATTCTTATTTTAATTTATTCTTCTTGGGTAAAGAGGAAATAAAATTTTTACATTCTTCTGGAGTTATGGCATTCCACTCCTGTATCGAACAATTCTTTAAAGTTTCTTTAGAAGTAATCGAATGTTCCTTTATCTTGCGCTTTAAAATCACCCATAAATGTTTGATAGAGTTAAGATCCGGTGACTGAGGAGGCCAACTTAATAATAATATTTATTTAATTAGACTCCATAAGGCCCATTTTGTTAGTTATAAATTGACTTAACCTAAGTTAGTAAATGAGCAGTCATAACGCTCTTGCATTGATAACCTGTCCCACCCAACATTTTAGGATAGGACAGTCCATTTTATCAGCAATTGTCTTCAGGACACTGTTTGAGCTAACACGCACACACGCTAAAATCTCTACACCATTTTTCTCAAACCAACTCATAGTGATTCTGGACCTATGGCCTGGGTCTTTGTCCTGTTGGAAACGGACGCCATCTAGGTTCATATCATCATAACATCGAACATCATATTAGATATTTGAGCGTTATTTTCAACCCCTATTTGTTAGAAATTTCTAAGGATTTTAGGTGGCAAATACTTTTGGCCAAGGCTGTAGTGTGATTATTAGTATTATCATATCATTTTTATGCATTAAAAAAATCACTGAACTTTTTAGAAAGTTCAAATATTTAAAAACAAATGTGTATTATGGTATGTACATATGTATAGTGCAGGCTTTTGTTGTGATGGTATAAACAAACTCTACAATAAATAAAATATGATCAAGATCCTTTTGATCTTTTACCAATTTATATCATATCATTCCATATTCTGAACATTTATAATTAAAATGACATTAATGCTCCTTTCCACTTTGGGTTTGCTGGAAGAGAACTCTTGTAAAGTTAAGCTCGTCTTTGTATGTTCACTTACCTCTGTAATATTTTTATGTATTTTTAATATGTAGAAAAAGGTGTAAATAATATTATTTGTCAATTATAATTAAGTAACTATTATCTATTAGTCATCCCTATAAATAGTTTCATGGAATATACATACAAATATAAGCCTATGGAATTTTTATTAGCATTATTAAGTATCATTATCATATCAGCCATTATCTGTCCACTGCTTAATATAGGCCTCCCCCATAGACAGCCTTAAGGCGAGCCAACCGCATCCACTGACTATCATCCTGGTAATCAGTGAATATTATATTTATTGATAATAATATAAATACTTACATAAATAATAAAAGTAAAATAACAATAATTTGATAAATTATTAAATAATAATAAAAACAAAATAATAATTTTGCGCTTGACACACTACTTTACCATTTGATGGTTGCAAGTTTGATTCCTGTATAATACCAAAATTTGTATTCATTGTATTGATCTAGGTGTTTTCTATGTTTAACATTAGAACAATGGTTAGAATCCATCCATCACCTCTCAGTAAATCCTGCAAAGACTATGGTTATTCTTTTTACTAAACAGAGAAGCCTAAAGGGACTCACAACCCCATGCATTTATGGAAAGAGATATTTTATTATGGTTAAATATATTTTGGTTTAATACTTGACTGAGAACTCACATGGAGAACACATGTAGTGGGGCTGTTAATTAAACACTAAGAGGTCTGGCTATGTGCACATCAGCATATGGTAAAGCATAGGGTCTGAAACCACAAATAATGAGGTGGATCTATGAAATGATGGTGAAACTCATTTTAACATATGGAAGCATTGTCTGGTGGCCTAGAACAAAATTAGTAACATGCAGAAATACACTGAGTAAAATACAGAGAACTGCATGTCTGGCAATATCTCATGCATTTAAAAGCACACCAACAGCAGCAATAATGGAGATTATATTGAATCTCCCTCTACTGCATATATTGATTGAAAAGGAGGCAAGAAAGGCGCTTCATAGACTGCAGGAGACATAATTATGGAACAGATCTATGCTACTTATAAATCACACAAAAATTAAGGTTGATAAAGACTTGGACATGTATATGGACATGAGGTGCAACAAAGTAACACAAAAATACATTTTCTAAAACATAGAAGACCGAGACACAGAGAAAAGAGAAGGAACATGACTAGCCATCTCTAAAGGAGAATAACCTATGTAAGGTAATATAAATTGGACTCTATTGTCCGCGCTTAGCCTCTCATTTGGGTCATTGTGCATATGAATCATGGCTAGTACAACCAGCCTAGCACCACTCAAAAGCATAGTAGCTACTTGAGATTATCAATGACCTCACAGAGCTATCTCACTGTTTTGAAGATTTTAGAAATCCTCTGGCAATGGCATGTTATTGTCGCTATCATTGTTTGAAGGTTTTTCTTGCCTAGATATAATAGACATTTCAATAATCCTTTATTCAACGTTTGCACGGCTAATTTTAATTGTCTGCAATCAGTAACCTGTATCTACCTTTGTTTTATATGTCAGTAGATCTTTGATAAATCCATGGTCGAAATTGCGAGAACCGAAGACGAAGAAGTGGATATGGACCTGCCACCTTCGTTCTAGAACCCCTTCTAGCTGGCTCGTCTGCAGTTATGGGACTATCAAAGCACTTGTATCAACACGGATGAATTTAGAGTTAACCTTAAATATTCAAAACCTAAATAATTTGGGTAGGCATAATAGGGTTAGTTTGGTATGGGTTCTTGGACATATAAAAATTAAAGGTAATGAAGAGGTTAGTGAATTGGCAAGAAGATCAGAATAAAAAATGATCGGTCCTAAACCATATGTTGCATTTGCATCAAGTGTTGTTAACTCTGTCCTTGAGGAGTATGTGAGGAAAAAACAGCAAAAGAAATGGAGAACTTTGAAGGGATCCTAGGCATACTAAAAAAATCTTACATGACAATGCTGAAGGACAGGTTAAACTCATCTACAGCAGTGATAGACAACAGGCAAGACTCATAATGAGTGCCTTAACTGGGTATATGCCAGTAAGGCATATACTATACAAGATGGGTCTATCCTTGGACACATTGCAGATTGTGCAGTGAGAAATCGGAATCTATGGAACACTTGATGTGCAACTGTGATTCATTGACAAGTATACATATGAATCTACTGGGAAGGGCTTATCCAGAGCCAGAGGACTATAGATATCTTAAGCCGCGGGATATCCTTAAGGTAACACATAGAATCTATAAATGAGTGTATAAGGCAGAGGGAAGCACAAAAGATCCCAATGAGTTGACATGCAACAGCTTAGCTGACCCCATATGGGAATATAAGGTAAGATAAGATGTATAACATGTATTTAAAAAAATATTTAACTATTTTTATCAGTACTCTAGTGCTCATAGTACATGATTAGATTAGTTTGGTAGAATGGTAATGTCTTATTACACTTCACCATCTAGTCCCAAACTAAGCTGAAGATCCAGTATGGAATCCCATTGTTTCTTCCTTGCACAATGGGAAATAGGTGAGATAATGAAAATGTACATTTATATATTAACATTATTGTATGTGTGATATATATAACTCTATATATATTTAAAAAATGAACAGTTTCGTGCCTCCAGTCACATTAGTTATAATTACCCTTCTCTATCTAAATGTTGCCTGAAAGAGATTGCTCTTAGGGATAAGGTGGCCCATTGTTTTCTTAGTGTAATATTTTCTTGTAATTCCTTGTATTTATAATAAGTTTACTATTGTAATCTTATGAAGGAAACAATAAAGAGTATCCATCTATCACGGCTCACTGGTGCCCTGCCAACTTAGCCAGCATATACCAATAGCACAAACGGGGTTTAATATGTTCTAATTATATGATATTGTGCAATAAAACGTGCTGTGTAGCTTGAATCAGTTTATGTCATGTTGGAACATGTTCTACCTACATTAGTACACTTTATTATTTAACAAAGTATAAAAGTACCCACATCAATATACATGACATACCTCCCCTCTAAGATAGTTAAATCAATTATAAATATAGAAAGATATTATGATTACATTTTAGACATATATAATACTAATATAAAAATATAATGACACTTAGAATAAGTACAGATTGTCTTTAAGATCTTGTGGTCTCTCATAAGGAGTTTTAGAATGCACATTTAACTTATTTTTTATTTTGCCTGTAGCTGGCGTAGCCAATTCAGAAGTTGGTGGGATTCCCAATATCTCAACCCATTTTTCAGAATCTGGTATTTCAATAATCCTCTCAGACTCTTGGCTGTTACTTTCCTGTTGTTCTTGTTGATGGTTCTTAACATTATTATCTGTGTTATTGGAAACTTCCAATGATTCAGATGTACCAGCAATTCCTTCTTCTCCTTCCTCCTTTCTTGATCTGTATCTAATCAACTGATCAATATGACGATTGATTGCTTTACCATTAGCTGTCTCAATTTTATAATTAGACGGTCCATTCTTCTGTAATACTACGCCTGGTAACCATTTGGGGCCTTGATTGTTGTAATTTCTGTACATTATCTTTTGTCCCTCATTAGTTTCTCTGTGTGATTTATGTTGATTGTGGTCAATCTGCCACTCTGTTTTTTTATGTTTCAAACTGTCTGGATGAATTGTATCCAGCAATGTCCTCAAATGTCTGTTCATTAATAGTTCAGCTGGACTTTTATTCGTAGCTGAGCACGGAGTGACACGCAGACCTAATAACAAATTTGGAATTCTAATGTCCCAGGATAAATGATCCATTTTTTTTAGTTTATCTTTAACTGTCTGGACCATTCGTTCCGCTAAACCATTGGTCGCTGGATGATAAGGTGCAGTAGTAACGTGACGTATATTATTTGCCTGCAGAAATTCCTTAATTTCGCCTGATACAAATGATGTGCCATTATCAGACACTAAAACTTCACAAAGGCCATGGGTTGCAAAAGTCGTTCTAAGCAACCGAATCACAGTGGTCGTTGTTGTATTGTTCACCATAAACACTTCTGGCCAACGAGAATATGCATCGACTATAATTAGAAAATATTTATTGTGATATGGCCCCGCAAAGTCTATATGAATTCTTGACCATGGCCTTGAAGGTGTGATCCATTCATGTGTAGTTTTAGGAGGCATATGTCGATTTTCAAGGCACTTGGTACAACCACTCACTAGTGATTCTATGTCTTCGTTTAAGTGTGGCCACCACACATAGCTTCTGGCCAGTGCTTTGGTTTGGACAATACCTGTATGTGTTTTATGTAACATTCGTAGAGTTGCAGGACGGAGAGTACTAGGTACTACAACCCGACATCCTAGTAGAATACAATTTTCTTGCAGTGACAGCTCTGTGCGATGTAACCAGAATGGGCGTATATCTGCATCAGTTTCTTTAGCTGGCCACCCACGTTGTATATAATAACTAACTTTTGACAAGATTTTATCTCTATTCGTCTCCCTGGCTATGTGCTCTGAATTGTATGGAAAATCTTCTGGTGTTTCAGCCATTAAAAGTACTTCTCCCAGCTGATGTTGAAGTTCCCACGGTACTGGCTGTGGCCATCGGCTTAAACAATCTGCATTACCTATTTCAGGACCTGGCTTATATTTTATCTCATAGTCGTGAGATGTCAAAGCAATTGCTATTCTAGTTAAACGAGGTGAAATCATATTAGGCATAGGCTTTTTAGGATTAAATATACCGAGCAATGGTTTATGATCAGTTATTATAGAGAAATTTCTTCCTGTGAGGTAATTTTGAAATTTGGTTATCCCAAACATAATTGAAGTAGCTTCTTTATCCAGCTGTGAATAACGCCGCTCATGAGGATGTAAAGTTCTGGATGCCATTGCTATAGGAAATTCGTCATTATCCTTTACATGTGACAATACTGCTCCAACGCCATATTCTGAACTATCACAAGTAAGTATTATAGGTTTAGTTATATCATAGTGCACTAGTGTTAAATCAAAAGTCAATAATCGCTTAGCCGTGTCAAACGCGTTTTGTTCTTGTTCTGTCCATTTCCACTCCTGACGTGTGTCTAATAAACGATGCAATGGCTCTAGTAGCGTCGCTTTATGAGGTATGAACCTCTCATAAAAATTATAGAGACCGAGAAAAGCTTGTAATTCTCGTTTGTTTTTAGGTTTAGGGGTGTTAGTAATGGATTCTACTTTGCTTGGTGCTGGATGGATACCCTTAGCATCTATAACAAAACCTAGAAACTCAACTCTTTCTTGAGCGAACCTGCATTTATTTTTATTCAATCGAAGTCCTGCACGTTCGATTCGCCCAAGTACCTTATCAAGTCTTTCTTGCATTTCCAGCAAAGTATGGCCACAGACGATTATGTCATCAATTAGAACTGCAACACCGGCGATGCCACCCAACAAAGATGTCATTAATCGTTGAAAAATTCCAGGACATGCCTTAACTCCGAAAGCGAGGCGATGTACGGTATACAGACCCTTGCAGGTATTCAAAGTTAAGAGTTTAGATGTTTCATCGTCTACGGTAACTTGTGTGTATGCTCTATCCAAATCTAAAGTTGTAAAATATTTTCCACCCGCGACCGCAGCAAAGACTTCATTTGCTGTGGGCATAGGATAGGTATCTGACTCGGTGGCTTCATTAACAGTACTGCGGTAATCTCCACACAATCTTATTTCTCCTGACTTTTTTATTATTGGCACTACTGGTGTAGCCCATTCAGAAAAGGATGTTTGGCGTAATACTCCTTCATTTTCTAATCTATCAATCTCCATTTCTATTCTTTGTTTTAAAGCAAATGGTACTTGACGAGCCTTAAGGAACTTTGGAGTTGCCCCTGGCTTTATGTGTATAGTAACTGGTTGTCCGCGGTAGGTACCGAGTCCATCTTTGAAAACTTCTTTATGTTTAGATAATATCGTGTCTATTCCATTTTGTTCAGTATTTGACACAAAATTGATATTCATAGTCAAGTTCAGAGGAGCGAGCCAATCTCGACCGAGTAGGTTCGGTCCTTTACCTTTGGCTACAATCACACACAAGTTTTTTGCGATGTTTCTATAACGCACTGGTAGTGTAACTTGGCCAAGTAGTTGGACTGGAGTCTCTGTCCATGTGCGTAGGATTAGTGAAGTAGGCTGTAGTGCATTTTGTGGCATCTGTTTATGTATTGTATGCCATGTTTGCTCATTTACTATAGAATAACTTGCTCCTGTATCCACTTGCATACAAACTGGAATTTCAGCAAGGAATGGCATCACTTCCAATGGCGGTGTGCGACCCATATTTGATATACAATAGATTCCATTTAAACAATCATTTGTTTCTTCCGTAAAATTTACATTATTATGTTTATTCTTCTTTTTACTAATACAAATTTTCTCCAGGTGCCCTTTTTTCTTACAGTATCGACAAATAGCATTTAAAAATCGACACTCTCCATTATGACGGTCGCCACAACGATAACAAAAACGAATGGACGCTCTTGACTGAACTGCATTAATATCCATCGGCTCTGAACCCGACGGTGATGTAGTGTAAGTCGTTCGAGAGAGGACAGGCGCGACAGTAGTATCTGCGGTCACGCTGGCAGATACTTGAATCATGCGGACATCCCGTCCCGCACTTTCTGATGATAGCATAGCATCCACTACATCTTGATAACGTAACTTATCTCGTTTTAAAAGTTCATACTGTAACCGTCCGTCACGCATACCACATACGAGCCGGTCGCGAAGCATTCGCTCTAAGTCAACGAAATTGCAGCCAGAGCTAAGTTTTCTTAATTGAGCTATATAGTCTGCCGCAGATTCATCATGTTTTTGATCACGTTTATAAAACTGGAACGACACTGATATTTCATTTGGTCTTGGACTGTAGTGTTTAGTCAAAACAATTTCTATTTCATTGAATGTCACTTCGCTAGCTTTTCTGGGTGTGATTAATGCCAATAAAGTTTCAAACACCCGCGAACCACACACTGTGAAGAAGTTAGCTCTTTTAGACGAGTCTGTTATGACGCCATTAGCCTCGAAACAAAATTTTAAACGGTCAAAATAAATGTCCCAATTGTCTGTTTGCGGATTAAACTCATCGAATTTCACTGCTTTTACGTCCATTTTATTACTTTTTACACTTCGTCGCCACTAATATGTTCTAATTATATGATATTGTGCAATAAAACGTGCTGTGTAGCTTGAATCAGTTTATGTCATGTTGGAACATGTTCTACCTACATTAGTACACTTTATTATTTAACAAAGTATAAAAGTACCCACATCAATATACATGACAGGGTTACTATTCCATTACCATTCACTAAGGTACATGGCAGTCTGAATGCAAAAGCTTCCAGTTACGCAGTGAGCTATTAAGATGGCTATACTTAGTTTCTTTGACACATAAAAATCAAGGTAACTGACATAGCCCAAAAGATAAGCAAGTTGAAGTGACAATGGGCTGGTTACATAGCTCGAAGAACCAACAACTGATGAGGAAGAGATGGTTTTGTATGGTGACTCCATATAGGCTAATGCAGTCAGCAGTAGACAGATAATGGCTGAGATGATGATGAAAACAGCACACAATATTTGCTAAGTAAATAAAAATAAATATTATATAATGACCTGTTATATTAACTTATTGATACTCAAGTTAGGATATTCATTGATCATTATCATATAATACTCCGGTAACACTAACCAAGCAATGGACTTAGGAGTACAAACAAAAGCAACCCAACAAATAAGCCAACCCAATAAATTAATATTGCATTACCCTTTTTATAATATTATTTTACTACATCAAACATAAATATAACATATTTTGATTTAATAAATCCAAGTGGAATTATCTATTTATTTCTCAAACTCAACACTATCATTAAGGAAATTAATAAAAAAGATCTGTTTCAAAGGAATGAATGTTTAGACAGAATATTATTATATAGCTTGTCTATTATGTAATGTGAACTATAGAAATGAAATATATAACAATTTTGTTTACAACTCAATATGATGTCATATTTTTTACTATACCTACCTAGTCAAAAGTAGAGAATGCCTGATTTAAATATTAATATTAGAAACTGCTAGTAATGGTGTAATTAAACAAAAATTAAAATATGGTGAGTGTACACAATTTACAAAATTTAAATTGGCAAAATATATACAGATTAGAAACCCAACTAACATGTTATAAAATATATATATAAAGTGGGCACTTATTAGCTAATAAAGAATCTAATTATTAAACACATTTTAATATTTTTAATCAAGTCATTTTCAAGAAAAAAAATAAAACACTGTTTTAAAATATTATGTGATTATTAGTAAACAAACGTTTTTGTTTCTGTTAATTTAGGTGCAATATTTTAATATCCCCATAAATATAGTGTTCCATTGAAACAATTAATGAAAATATAAATAGATTAATGTATCACTCAGCAAAAAGAAAAGGAATACTAGGTACTCGAGAACAAGAAAGCTTCATTTAGCTCACGCTAAGCAATAACTTATTTATATTATTACTTCAACTTACTGAACAAAGGGTATCATGTAAACAAATATAACAGAAACAAAAACAATCGTAATGAATTTTAGTCTCACATACTTAAAACAGCCATGTAACGCACCTTCAAGTGCCAGGTACATAGGTGGAACCCGGTGACATGGGGAGAGAATTAACATAACTTTGTCCTTACACTGTTCAAATCACTAGCCATAATTCAGTAATTTAACACTAAATATCCTCTCACGTTTACTTTAGTCCAAATGCTACCATTCTACATTCACATTTAGTTATAATATTATGAACAAACGCTCAGTTAACAAAATAAAATAATATAACACCACCAATTAATCGACCATAGCATAAAGCCCTTTGAAGTACGTTTATTACGACGACAAAGATACTAACTGACTGAGGAACGACTGTCTATGGATTCGAGTCGAGACTCGAGTCGAATGTTTTGTCTATTTCGGATTTCAACCATAGACAAATATTTTATTTAAAATGGTAAGACTATATCTTCATAACTATGGTGTTACTAGTACACAAATAATTGCAATATTTTTTTTATTTTATTTTTCAAATAAAGGCTATCAATAATGTCTTTATAATGATAATAGCTTTCGTTAGGTATAGATGATAAATGTTGTACTAAAAGGAACCCTGATTTTTTTACTTTTTAAAAGCTATTAGTATATACATCAAACCACCTACATTAAGGTAAAAGTAATACACTAAGATATAAACTTGTTTAATATACATACAATTTTTTTTAAATATATTTAAATAATTCTATTTACTATTTAATTTAATATAAAAAGATATTTTCTTTGACCCTAATGTGCGTTTTAATATTATTCCTTCTTGTTGCTAGTCAAGTTCATTTCAGGGTTCAACTGTACACTGATTAAAAACCTTTTTTATTTTCATTAAAGAAAAGTAAGAAAGAAAAATTTTTATTCAAGTAAACTTAGACTTAAGTATTTTTATAGTAATTTTTTCATTACCACCCATTTGGAATGCAATTTCAGCATAAAAAACTAGCAAGAAATTCAGCTGTTGTTTTTTAAAAAAAAATTAACTACATATATAAGTAACGAATTTATGTGAATAAAAACTAATAAGAAACATTAGATCAAAAAATTTAAAATATTTTTATTTAATTGGCTACTTGGCTCTCTCTGTCTAATGTTCATGACACTTGACACAGAGAGCCAAGAGAGCCAATTTTGGGCAGTGAATTTAAGTATTCACGTAATATATAATCCAAACCATAAACTCAATAAATAATTATTATAATAACCTTTACTTTTCTAATTTTTAATTCGCCTTTGAAGTTAGGTTACTAAACATTGCATGCCGACCCATAAGGATCTTTTTTGCTACCTTTTACTTAATTTAATATTTTTACAGATTCTATTCATTAGCTTTACGATACCCCGCCGTTCATAATACCTATATGTAGTCTTTTAGCCCCGGATAAAATGTTATTAGTAGACTATTATGTATACTGAGTCCACTGGCAATAATCACAGTTGCATATCAGTTGATCCATAGATTCCAATTATTTTCTGCACACTATACACAGTGTCCGAAGACAGATCTTTGATCATGATTTACCAGTACGTGTAACTGTTGATGTAAAGGATCTTATGATGAGTCTTGTCTGTTCTCTGTTATCACAGTAGTTATAAGTTTATTCTATCGATCAATTTTATTGTTTATTAACTTTTACTGATTTATTCTCGCATTCTTCTTAAAGATGTTATTAACAACACTTGATGTAAGAGCTAATCGATCGAGAACCTGTAACTTTTCCATCCATCTTTTTTTTTCTTTCATTAAATCCATTTCCTTTCTTGCTAATTTACTGTTTTTTTTTGTCTTTCGCCGTTAATGCTTGGTGCATGAGTCCCTTTAAGTTTTTCTGTTTGGTAAAAAGAACCTTAGTTTAGAGAAGTGATGGGTTTTACACCATCATCCTAATTACTGTAGAGATGTTTATATCAATCTTGATACCGTATTTGGAAATTTTCAGTTTACCATTTTAAGCATATTATCTGCATATGCAACAATATAAACTAGCCCTTCATTTAGTAATGTCATAAGAGTCTACAAAACTCCATAGTATTAGTAAGAGTACTACTCCTAGGGACATCCATTAGTAGTAGTGGCATCTATTTTTCACCCTAGTAATGCAGATTCTATAATTCTGCCTTTAAGCATAAAGTCTATCTATCTACAGAGTGTGGAGGAGATGCCATGTTTCCTTGCTGCTTGATTAATCGATTTGAATGTCATGCGAACAAACACCCCTTCTGTGTCTACAAAGACAGCAAAACATACTTTCTTCCTGTCTAATGCTGCCTCCAAACGACTTATTATATAATGTATTGCTGTTTTGTGAATTTTCCTGGTAGATAGGCTTTTTTGTTATCTTAGGTCTGCTCTTTTTGAAATTTTGAAAAGAAATGTAAGGGAAGAATTTGTACAATGAATTTTTGTACAAAAATATAAAATTATAATTAAAAATCCCTTCTTGATCTCATTCAGAATTATTCTGTTGTTGTTATCATGATATGAACGTCCGAATTTAAAATTTTAGATGAATACATAAAAATTTAAATTGTATTATTTGTAAAATATTTGGTATGTTTTAATGTAATAAGTACAAATTTAATAGCTTACATTATTTATTTTACAAAATGTATGTAAACATATTACGTATGTATGTACGTATATTACGGAACCATATTGTAAGAAACTATTTACTCTTGTTCTTTATTTATAAGCTGACAACATTGAATAGGTCTATTTTTTTATGGTCACACAGCTTCCGGTTTATTTATCCTCTCGTCTTTCTTCATTACACTCTGTCTTCTAGTAATCAAACAATTCAATAATAAAAAAATATGGCTAATATAGCAGCGCAACGTATTAGAAGAGAAATCAAGGAGGTCATGAAAAACGAAGAGGTAAGGGTATCACTCTTTTTTTATAATGTAAATGTGAAAAACATAAATATAAGATGACACTTACTTGCATATTTATTCTTAGTTTATTTCGAACATCGATCTGTGTAGTACAAAGTACGATTATAAATCTTATGATTGTATTCCTAATGCTGTAAAATCTGCGCGATTATCTTGAATTATTCATTAACCAAATCACTTTGTATAAAGTGATTCAGCAGCTTTTGTGATGTCGCATTTTGTTGTTTATTTCTCGTGGGAATATTATGATACCACTCATGACTACTATATGTGCGCGTAAGTTCATATAATGCAGTCTCGAAATTTATATTGAGCAATTTTGGCCTGCTTTTCTATGTAATTACTTGCATCTTAAAACTTCCATTGTTGTTAATATTGCTTTTTACCTTCACATCATGTACGAGGTTTGTCCGGAAAGTACGTATAAAAGTTTTTTAAAAATTTTATTTTACAATTATTCAGGTAAATCAATTTTATCCCCTTCAAAGTACTCCCCCTGTGACATAATGCACTTGTGCCAACGCCGTTTCCACTGTGAGAAGGCTCCTTGAAAGTCCTCTGGTTGTAGGTTTCTCAGCTGCCCCGTCGTAGCTTTTTTTATCTCATTTATGTCCCCCAAATGCCGCCCCCGAAGTACCAATTTGGTTTTTGGGAACAAGAAGAAGTCACACGGGGCCAAATCCGGCGAATAGGGGGGTGTTCGGTCACCGTAATGGAATTTTTACTCAAAAACTCACGGACAACAAGAGAGGTGTGGGCAGGGGCATTGTCGTGGTGAAGAATCCAACGCCCCTCTCGCGCCAATTCTGGACGAACTCGTGCCACACGAGCTTTGAGGCGTCTGAGCACATCGACGTAGAATTTTCCATCAACTGTCTGGCCTGGAGGGACGAATTCTTGATGGACAATCCCCCGAACATCGAAAAAAACAATCAACATTGTCTTGACATTTGAGCGGGATTTTCTTGATTTTTTTGTTCGTGGTTCCCCGGATGTCTTCCACTCTTTGCTTTCACGGCCATTCTTGCCGAGTTTCGAGAGAAACTTGATTACGACGCGCTGCTCTTCAACGGAAGCGGGCTCCATGCCGACGGGGTTTCGTTAAGAGGTAACTTCACAGATGGCGTGACAAGCCAGTTCGCACCGCACGGCGGTCAGACCAGAACTGAAGCATTGTTAGGGACATAAGGAAGGGGTCCTGCGCTTACCTGGCCTCCCCACTCCTCTTTCTCGCATTCCAGAACACTTTTATACGAACTTTCCGGACAGACCTCGTATGTCTTGTTACATTGTTCATTATCTATCTTAATTTATTATAAAAGAAGTTTAAAACATTTTAAGCAGTCTATATTTTATTTTATTAATGATTTTGATTTAACAATTATAATACTTTAATAACATTTTATGGGTGTACTACTGTAGTGTATTTATTTATATGAGATTAATTAAAATTTAAATATATTTACGGTATACTTAAGTCCAAGCTTAAGCATAATATAATGTATATATTACCATGCTATGCGACTTACTTAACTATTTTTACAGTATACATTATATTTGCTCATGTTTTTTAACATTTGTGTGAAGACGGTGACAGCATAATAGGGCCTGCTTAAGATGTTTTCATGGAGTAAAAAGCCTTATACTTACTTGTCATATTTTATTGATGCATGTATTTTTATTGAATTTAGTAATTTCATCATCATCATCATATTAGTCATTAATTGTCCATTGCTGAATGTAGACTTCCACACAAGGGGGTTTTGCCAGTAGTTGCCATGTTTCACGGGGAGGTTGATAACTGCAGTTAGCTTGGTGATGTTTTAGGAGGGATGCTGCTGCCCATCCTTTGACTATTAAGTAATAATTTAATGACTGGGTTTAATTCCCAGTATGACCAATATGGGAAATAAACTTTTCTGATTTGTTGCGTCTAGATGCTATGCCTCCAGAGGTTCATTGCCTGGTTCCTCATAACACGGGATATCAGGGTTATTTTTAATGGGTGAAAATGGTATGGTTAACGGGATACGCTGGTGGAACACCGGTGAAGGGTGATAAATGAGAATGAAAACAGGTCAGTTAGCCCATCATGATGAGTTCATCAGGAATTAACCATGATAGTTTCCAGGGAGAACCGCGAGGAGGTCGATCTGGTTGGGTATATTGCTAGCAATGGGATTTTCAGTCTCCATAACTAAGAATCTCTTTCCCCCCATATCAGAGTTGATGATGGCTAGGAAATTGGTGTGGCACTAATTGTTACTGGGACTGTAATAATACTTTAATGGTATTAGTACATTAATAATAAAGCAGCAATTTTAAATACATGTCGCCTGGTCCGTAAGTTCCTATCATTGAACTGACATTCCAAAAACACTTGGCTTTGGCCTGTGTCTAAAACTACCTCTAAATGAGAGATATAACAAATTAAATAAAAATATCTTCCAATAATGTCTAATAATTCCAATATATATATATATATATATATATATATATATAATTTATGTATTTGTGTGACAATTTTCACTTTGTAGATGTAGTTTGTAAATTAAGCGTTTTCAGAAGCTTGCACCTATGTAGTGTGCAACTTCTTGTGACCATACAATAGATATCTGTTGTATTATCATCATTTAGAGAGAAAAAGAGGCAGTTACCCTTCAAATAAGGGATCATTTATGATGATAAACAATTTGCTAATCAATTAACAAATGATCATTGTGTGAATTACTTGAACTTGAATTTGAGTAAAAAAAATCATTCAAATTATTTTCTTTTTTCTTATCATTTAATAATTAAAATATCCAGTAGTTTGTATATTATAAAAAGTAAACTGCAAATACTTTTCTTGCTATTATTATTATAAATGTGAAAGTGAGTTTGTTTGTTTATTTCTTACCTCGTAGCTTATCAGTGGCTTCATCAAACACTAAAATTTTGTATACACATACTATATAACTTAATTTTTTTGGTCCATCAATATATCCCGATCACGCAGATGCGTCACGGGTAAAAGCTAGTAATATTATGAATGCGAAAGTTTGTACAATGGATGTTGTTACTCTTTCACGTAAAAACTATTAAATTTGAATGAGATTTGGTACACGGGCAGGCTATATCCTAAATTAGCACGCAGGATAATTTATATACTTACTGATTCACGCAGACGAAGCCGCGGGACATAGCTAGTGTTGTATAAATATTTTGTACATAATTTACAAAAGAAATATAAAAGAGACATATATCGGTGGACTTATTCCATTCAAGGATTTCTTACAGTGCAGCATTGAAAAACTTTTTATGTAAATTCTTACCTATCTCTGTACAAATGCGAAATTTTATTAACATTCTAGCAAAATGAGTTGTTATTTTTTTTTCTAGCTTCTTTTTTAATGTTGTAATATTCTATATATATAAACTGTAATATTGTTTAAGAATGCAAATAGCGAATTGTTTATTCTTTTGATGATGGAATACAATCATATTATATTAATACTTGATTTAGTCTATCAGTCTGTGTGTCTATGTGTAAATAAATAAATCTATCAAAGATATAAAGTAAATATATATATTTGTATCAATTTAATATGTACCATTTATGGATTAGACATATTATAATTTACTGTAACTAAATTAAACAATTACAATCACTTGAAGAAATAATGTTATTTGAATTATAGGTATTGGACTTTTATAGAGAGTTTTTACCTATATGCAGTAGTTAATGGGTTATTATAATATAATATGGTAATTAAGTTACAGTAATAATAATAATTATATATGTTAATTTACGTTGAGGAATGTCAAGAATAACCAGAAACGGCGTGTACGCGTGTGACGGGTTATGAAAGTCGGTGAAGCAAGAGATGTGTGCAAGGCCTATATTATGCTATTCGGTAGTCTTTGTCTACCTCGTAAGATTTGGCATGAAGACATTAATCTTCGTCTCATTAAATCTGCTCATCGTAGTTTTAATGTTATTTAATTACGAAACTTTGACTGCACTAGTTAATGAAGTTTAATGATCTTTTAATATATAGTACATAAAACTAAAAAATAAGTCAAATCTGGAAAAACTCAACAATACTTGTCGGTATAGTAAAATCTTTTAAATAATTTTGTACATATATAATTTTAAAATGAATATAACTTGTGAAAATAAAGAAAATAAAATAAAAAATAGTTTTATACTGAACTACCTATTGCTCGCTGCTTTACATGCGTAGTGTCATGTTTCGCAAAGAAGTTAAAATTTTCAAAAATCCATTTTTAACGGATTCTTTACTTAAATAAATCTATTTTCTAAATTTTATCTTGTGTGGTTTGGCTGTGTTGATAGTCAATCAGGACAAACGATATTGTAAATATAAATACTGGTTATTAGTGTTGATATAAAAATTGTATTGTAATATTATTATTTACTAGTTTTTTCCGCGGTTTCACTCGCGTGTGATATTATTAATTTTTTACGAGTATCACTACTGTCTCAGACCTTGCCATGCATGTAGTAAACTTACTTGATATCTAAAATCTGAATCTTTTTCTCAAATCGAGTCAATAGTTAATTACTTGTAATAATTTATCATTCAAAATTATTAGTGGTTCACTAGTGAATGTCTGAAATGAACTTCGTAATAATTATATTTATTATAATATTAGGACACACCTTCATTTCTTAGGAGAACAGTATTTTCAAAAATGATAAAACATTTTATTTTTAGCATTAGACAAATATTAACTTCACCTTCTTAACTTAAAATTGCATACAAACAAAATTGTATACAAATTTTCATTTAAATCAAATCATCCCCTATTTGACTCCCTTCGGAGTAGAATTTCCAAAAACTGCTAATAAATGTTTCGTGTTTAAATAGAAACCTTAAAATCAGACTTTCATATTTCTAACTTCAAAATTAAGGGTATTCCCATACAAATTTTTAACACCAACTCATCCCTTTAGTGGTGAAATATCCAAAAACGCTAAGGAGTATCTATTTCTAAAAGTATAAAAGTCGATGTTTCGTTCTTCTTTCTAGCGTCATATATAACAGAACTTTTATACAAATTTGCATCCCCTATTTAACCTCTTTAGAGGTGAATTCTTTAAAACCCAATAAACATTTTTTTTTGGAACCCAGAGTCTAAATCTATAATTTCACATAGCTTCTACACTGACGAAATTCCATACAAATTTTCAGCCCCCGTGTTACGTCCTTAGGGATTTAATTATCAAAATTCTTTTATTTATGCTGTATGTAACCTATTATGTTTATCTGTGCTAAATAGCGAACATATCTGCATAGTTTAAAAATTCTAGCTTTAGGGGTTTCGTTTATATATATATAAACGAAAGCCCTGAAAACCCGAATATATCAATTAATGTCTAAAATTTATCGAAGAATACTCATCATAAGTCCTTTGTCATAATTTACAATATTTGGTTATATAAGCTTAGTATGATTAGTTATATTTACATTCGACTAATTTTTTTTCAGACGGCCGGTGCATCTATAAAATTAGAATTAATAGACAACCGCTGGACAGAATTGAAGGGCGAGATCGGAGGACCACCAGACACGCCATACCAAGGCGGTACATTTATTCTCGAAATAAAAGTACCAGAAACATATCCCTTCAACCCCCCTAAGGTAAATATAAAATTTATTTAAAACTACTTGATATACGTTACCCGTTATACGTGAATTTCAATTTCTGGCTATTCTCAAGCGATTTGCTTATCAACGAAGAGAGTTTAATTCTCATATAAGAGACTTAATTGTAATAATATAATATATAATAATAAAATGAAAATTACAAAAAGATTCTTTTAAAAATGCCAGATATGGTTTTGATCTGTTGGACACCTTCGAATTTATGATGAATTCAAATATGTTTCGCCATTCGAAGACCTCCGAAAATTATTACAAGACCTCCAAATAAACATAAAACGTAGTAAATCTGAAAAACTATAGAATATTTTTAAGGCATGTGAGCGGTTCTCTATTACTACTTGCTGATTTTACTCTAGTTCTTCTACTGAGGTCCTTATTCTATCACTTCCAAATTTATCACGTGTATACACTATCCGCCGTTGTGTGTCCTAGCATGGAATGGGCCTCCCCTTCATTTCCTGTGGGTGTTATAAGAGGCGACTAAGGGAGAACGAGAGATGGGCAGCAGCGTCTTTCTTAAAACATCTCTAAAGGTCTAACTGCGGTTGCCAACCCGCCTGCCAAGATTGGCAACTACTGGCGAAACTCTCCTTATGGGGAAGGCTTATGTCCAGCAGTGGACAGTTATCGGCTGAAATAATAATACCCTATCCATATTTTTCTGAGAAGCACATATGTTCTTAATATATACTTTTAGAATTTGATGTATTAAATATAAATCAGATTCTATTTGTCCACTGTCTGTCATCAGTGTCAACCAACTGCATAATTATAATTAAAATACTGTGTCACTATAGCAACACTACAACATTTATCATCAATACTATATCAAAATAAATTGCACAAATGGCACCGGTCAGCTTTATCTCTTGTATAAACGTTTTATACTTCGTTCTTTAGATATGTGGCCATAACGGGATTTAATATACAACATATATAAAGTGACCTATGCACGTTATGTCAATAGAAGCTGGAGAAAAATTTATCTTTCGCATATAAATGAGCAACAGAAATATATAATATACAGGATTTAGTTTTTAAAATGGCTTTCATAGACGTAGATAGGTAATTTTATACAATATTACCTGACCAGTAAAATGTTGTTTTGTCCTCTATTATCACTTACTAGGTACGTCTTATCGCTATAAAAACTATGGTACTATATCACTCAAGTTGGGGCGAACACATTTACAAAATTTACGAAGATTAACTTCAATGAACATTGTGACACGAGCATATTAAGATTTTGACGTTATAACCACGTGACCACATTTAGTTGTTTTTATCTTTGAACGGATGTTTTTGGCGCAAAAAATCTTAATTATTATAGTTTTTCATATGCTTATTTAACCATACCCTGTTAGATATTTATCTTAGCTAAATAATCACTTAATAACATTTATTTAATCCCCTTTTATATATACTAGCAGTATCTTTTCAGAAATGACTGTCAACAATAAGTTATTTATATGTATAATAATTTATGTGTTATAATAATAACACATAAAGTAAATTATTAGTACGCAAATAAGTGCTAATTTAATTAAGGTTAATTTTTAAGGTAATAAAGATGATAATATGTGGCACCTAAATATAGAAATCTAATATATCATTTTATATCTGTAAAAATAAAATGATAACAAATCGATACAACTCAGATGTTGTAATTTGTAACGATTAATTATCAACGATAATAATAATATAAATTCAACATTAGTGTCCGACCGAACTGTCGGTTTCGGCAAGTTTCGATGCAAATATGAAGAGTCGGATTACTTTAGGTTTTGGTGCAAATTTGAATATTTATTTTGGAGTTTTATTTTGGTTCAGTATAAAATTGACTAACTAAAATTACGGCCGAAAGTGAGTGAGGCATTTACTGAATTTTTTACGGCTCGCCTGCCTTACACAAGACACATTTTGCAGTACATTTTACAGAAATGTACAGAAATGGAAAGCTCACTTTGTTGATATATATCAGTGTAGTTATTTGATACAGTGCAAAAGGTGTGACATCCTGTATTGTAAAGATGCTTAGTGTGAGTTCTGAGTATTATCCTTCGATAGAATATGTATATTATAAAACTATTTACAGAATCGTAACGTTCGTGATATCATTATGGATGTACTTACATCATATTTTGATGGACTGTGTGAAAAAGATCGTCTAAGTACAAGGATCCTTATACTTAACGATCTTTTTCACACTAAACCTTAAAATACATAAATAATAAAAATAGATATAGGAGCCATGCAGAGTATTTTGGCGGACTTTAGGCAATTGCACAAAATTAATTTGTTTTTAATTGATTAATATTGTATTCAGAGGGAGACTTTGTACAAAAGTCGATTGCTTGGGCACCTCTGTCCCATTCGTGTTTCAACCGTAAAGCAGTTGTGTTTGCATGTCTGTGTTTCGGTTTGAAGGGTGGGATATGGCGTGAATTTACTGGGTACAGAGGAATAACACCTGAGTCCTCAGGAATGGCAACGCATGGGGGGTATTATGGGCGAAACAGTATTATCTGTTATGTCCATGGTACTGCTCATGTCTATAGGCGATGGTTACCACTTTCCATCAGGGGGGCCGTCAGCTTGTCTGCCATTCTATGTTGTATAAAAAACACATACCATTATATGTGTCCAACATATAATAGGCTTTTTTAATGGGTGAAAATGGAATGGTAAACCCGCCCGCACTAACCGTATGCACCAACACCAGTGAAGGAGAATAGATGAGAATGAAAAGGCAGGTCAGTTAGCCTGTCGTGATACAGCTAGGATTCAGCACGATGGTTTCCAGGGGGGACCACGTGGAGGTCGACCTGACAGGGTATATTGCTAGCAATGAGATTTGTAGTGTGCATTACTAATAATTCCTTCCCTTCATATATAATATATAATAGGTTAGGAAATAATGGAAATGACATATTTTATAAAACAGAACTATAATTAGGCGATATCTGTAAATGGGACATATTTAAGAAAGAATAATATTTAGACCAGTAAGTACCAAATCAAATCTTTTTAGAAATTTATTCGTCTTTCTGTGTGTCTGTATGTTTATTCTGGTATCACACAAGAAATACTGCACTTAATAATAAAAAGATAATTTAAAGAAAATATCATTTTAGTATTTTATGACATAAAATGCCAGTTATAGGGTACCAGGTACTTGTATATTTAAATTAATAAATTAATCGCATTAATAATTAACTGTATATAATTATAATTATCATATGTGGAAAAAATTATTGTCTGGAAAGTGATTGTTGTTATAAACATCTCTGTTTTATATATCTGATAATAATTCTGTAATTCTTTGTTCTTGGACCATATTGAAATACTGATCGTTATATTGATCATTTATATTTTATTTCATCATACGTACCTTCTCTTTCTTATAGACAATAGGATTTTTTAGATTTGCAGAGCTTTGATTTAATTAAATAACTGCTTCCATTAATAAGAACACACATCTTTGAATTGTTATACTTAACTGGAAAGGTTTAGCTGGATAAGTATGAAATGTCAGCGCCCAAATGGAAACCTATATCGAAACTTATGTTGTAATGTCGACTTAAAGCACGAACTTCATTTTTGTATATTTCGCGATCGGCATCCGCTTTAAACTTGAGATATGAGAGAATATAAAAGTACGCATGAAACGATATATCTCAGAAACTAATTAAAATAGAAAATGAGACCGACATGAGGGTTTAGGTAGCATTACGGAGTACATTATATTTTTTAAAATTTTTAGATTATTATATTTTTTATAAAAAATAAATAATAAAATAATATATACTGTACTCCTTTATGTGCATTATTACTCACAAAAATTACGAAAGAAAAAAGTTGGTTCAATTCTTGGAAAAAAAATGTGCTACCTGCTCGCCATGTCAAGGAAGATCTATTAATTTATAAAAATAATATATGTTTCGATATATTAATTTGAGGATACTTTTCATAGTTTTAGCAAGTTTACCTGGTAGCCATATCTGGATTAAATGATGAAGTAGATGAACACATATTGTGTCAAGCATTTCCTTAGAACACGAAATCATAAGACCGCGTAAAGTAGAATTAAATGTATATGCTAATCTAGGACATGAACCATCTGTGTACTACATTTCATACAAGGCAATTTTAAAGGCAAATATGTACGTAATATCAATATTTCTTGTCCATATTTCTATATTATCGTATATTCTATATATATTCGCGTGGGTGTCGAAAGAGGCGATTAAGGGAATTTAGCAATCGAGAGATGGGTAACAGCGTCCCTCCTAAAACATCACCAAAGCATAACTACTGTTGCCAACCCGCCTGTGAAGCGTGGTAACTACTTGCAAATCTCTCCAATACGAGGATATTTACTTTCAGCACTTGTTACCAGCTTCAGACAGTTAACAGCTCATATAATAATAAGCTTCTATACCATAGTTACGCGGTATGCGTGCCATCATACATGTCATTATAATGAAAGTCACCGATATTTAAATGTTTGTTTATAACTGTTTCCAGATCCGTTTCTTAACGAAGATCTGGCATCCAAATGTATCATCAGTAACAGGCGCGATCTGCTTAGATATCCTCAAAGACCAATGGGCGGCTGCCCTCACGCTGCGCACAGTGTTACTCTCCATTCAAGCGTTGCTCGCAGCCGCAGAACCCAATGACCCACAGGACGCCGTCGTCGCCAAACAGTACAGAGAGGACCCACATATGTTTGAGATGACGGCAATACATTGGACGAATGTATACGCTGGAGGGCCAACACCAGTCTTCGAATTCAATCAGAAAGTGAGAGTTCTTACTGAGATAGGAGTCAACGAACAAGTGGCAAGGGTAGCTCTATCTACGTACCATTGGGACATCGAACGGGCCACGGAGGAAATTTTTAGTTAGTGTCATTGTGTATTTACTTAATAATTAGTTTGCTCCAATAACACTAATGCAGCAAATCATCATGATTTTGTGATCCACATTATTTTACTTGATATTGATTCATTAATTCTTAATTAATTTTGAGCTTTCTTTTAAATGTTTATAAATTACTATGTAGTAGGTACGTATTTTTTTTCTAATTCAGTGTAGAATATTTCCAAGACGGTAATATATTTTTTTGAATTTTATTAAATTCTTGTGCTCCAATAAAATTACACGTTAGGTAATGAATGCTGTACCATACAATATTTGCACCCTGCAGATATAGTTCATATCATTCACACATAAATATCACGAGGTTTTCTGAGAGTGCTCGTTAATGACATTTTTTAGAGTGGTAGCCTTAGGTTTGATCATAATATAATTCAGGTCAATAATGATACATTGTTATTTTTGCATTAGTGTATACAGTCGTGAAAAATATATACTTATAACGCGCTTTATTTTATAGATATAAAATAGAGCCTATTTTTACTCGATTTACAGGCGGATATTATAAGTGAAAAAGATAGAATCACATTAATAAATTGTCACGATGTCACTGACAAATTTTTGGTTTCTCAATATTATTATTTTACATAAGTCTATTAAAGTTGTTATACTAAAATTGTATGTGGTGTGTGTAAAAGTGTATATAAATAGTTAATCTTAAATGTGACTCTACATTTATCTAAGCCGAAACACCAGTTTATTGTTTCTATCCGATTAAGTGTTCAAATATATGGTTAATATAACCAAAGAACTGCGGTTCCGAACGTTAACAAACATGTTTGCTGTTTATATAAACGTAAACATAGATTGACACAGATAAATTATTTGAAATACTTAGCTACTTTTAGGGAAATTAAAATTATAATTTTTACTCTTAAATGCCGCAATTAATCAAAGGAGTTGAAATGTGGGCAAAAGAACATGTTACTACGACGTCAGTTCCAAGAGTCGTTGTCTGCCAGTGAGTTTCCAGTGAGAATTAGCGTTTTATTTACTGTAATTTACACTATCGGTCTCATCTATACAATTATTTATTCGTATGTTGGCAGCATTATATACATTTCCACTTGTTTGCAATATTTAAAAATATTGTATATTTAAGTACTACATCTTTTTTTTATTTATATTTTTAGAAACACACACTGATAAAGTTACGGAATTTCATAAATTGCTGTCCTTGACTAATAACAACTAGTTGGATTAATTATTTATAATACTCCACACGATTCTGGCGTAAATATTTGCTATGATTTGTTATGTAAAATGAAAAAATATAATGATCTTATATTTTTCTGATATATCACCCAACATCTGTTTCTCTACTTAATATATTTTACTCAACATTACCGTTGCATCTTGGTGATTGTTAACTACGTACGCTTTTACTACACGTAAAATTTTATATAGAAAATTGTTTCTAAAAAACTATTTCACTATATTCTGGTATGTTATGACATAGAATCTCTATGGAATATAAAAAGTATTTTGAGGTCTTTATTTAAAAAGAAATTATATTGAGCACATCCCTCGCGTAGCTGAAAATCTATGAAATTTGGATACTTTAATACTGACTATATATTATCTCTTATATTTGATATTTAAGTCGGAGTCGATTCTGAAGAACCATTCCATAAAATGATTTCAAAAATTAAAATTTTAAAGGTTAATTTAGCGAAAGTGCCTATTATGTTACGTATCATCAAGAACTAAATTTAAATTAGTTATGTTATAAATTTGGTGCATATTGGACCAAATGATATACTAACAGTTTTACTGTAATATTAATTATTACAATTCAAATTTTGATTTTAAACATAAAGGACGATAGTTTAGTATTGACTCCACTCATAATTATAGTCAGAGATGTTTTATTGATTTTTGCCGTTATGCCTAAATTCACCGAGTATTATGTACAGAGTTTGCGAACATAACAGAAAAATTGCCCACACATTATTTATCAGCAATCATAATAAACCGGATTAAAGTACGAAAAATATTTTAGATTATTTAGTGGATGCCAATTTTTTTTTTTTATTAGTTATGTTTGTTTTAAATATGACGTGAAAATCTACATAACACATATATGTTTCCAGAAAAAAGTCGACTTTTTGTCAACTGGCAATACTATACAGTTCACTTCTAATTGTTGTACGACCTACATATTTTATTTCTATCATTTTAACATATAAAATTCACAAACATAACTGTGATATTTTAAGAAAACATAAGTCATACATTTTTGAAGTTTTTTTTTTAACGCGATTGACATAACATTTTTCAGTTAACCAATAAATAAACGCTTACTACCATAAGGAATAAAATATCTGTCTTATTGTTTGTTTTCTATATCTTTCTATCTTCTACATGTATGTCGTATGGTAATTTGTTTTTTATTTTCTTGTAAAGCCATTTCAAGTTTACTAGTAAAAATCACTATGCAAAAACTATCAAACAGTTGATAGTTATTGCGTATTTGTCAATCAATTAAAAATGAGTTTTAAAATTGTACACAATTTTATTTAATATCGATTGATTGATTGATTGATGTGGTTTTTTTGGAACAAATTCTACTTTTTATAAATGATTTAAAGCACACCCTTCTTCAGTGTTACAAATTAACTAATTCAATTTTATAGATTTTTACAATATGAATTGATTTTTTTTTACATAAATTGCATGTATCTATATGTTACATTACATTCACACACCCACTGACGCATCGGATGTTTCTAAAATACAAGTTCATTAAAATAATAAAGTTGAGCAATTTTTACTAAAACCTTTGTAATGGAACACCATACATGTAATTCTTGAACCCTACATGAATTCTGCTAATAAGTTTTTAATGAAATATTGTTTAATGATGAGCAAAAATATAATGCACCACGAGTTGTCTGCTCTCAGTTAGACGCAAGTAAGGGTTGCTACTAATCATGTTTATAGCCATTTTTTTTATAGGCAACCATATGCTACCGTATATAGAAGAATGTTCTGTCGGTTTTAAACCAAATAACATGATTTACCAAAATTTTCACTTTTTCAGCTGGCAATCCTAGATTGTGGCTAACAGTCATTGCACCCGGGTGCATTGTATTCTAGTTTCGCTCATATTTAATTAAATAGAACAATAAGAATATATATATATATATATATATATACACTAAAATTAAAACAAACATACAAAGATTTCTTTAGGCAACCTAACACAGTGACATAGGAAGTAGTGAATGGGCAGTAGTAGTGCAAAACAGAAACTAAAATTAGTTTTTACATAAATTATACGTTTATAATTCAATGGCGGGATCTTGGACTATTATCATATATGTCGTTTTGATGCTAATAACGACCACGTCGGCATCTCCAGATTTTTTTTTTTTTTTAATAAAGTAGTATAATATCTTTTTGGTTCATTTATTTGGGTTTATGTTTAAGACGATTGGGGTGCGTGGGACGGGTTGGGACGTGGATGGGAGTTAGGATCAACGCAGACCGACTTGATAGCAGAGAGATTTGATGTAACAAGCTATGACTTCGTTGTTATACGAAGAAGTAGTAACTCAGCAAGAAAGAGAGAATAGCGCGAGAGAGAAAGAGAGAGCAAGAGACAGAGTGCGTCGTTTAGTATACATAGTGATCAATTTCCTGCTCATTGTAAACGGGGTATACACGGTGCTTTCTCCAACGGTCTGCGCTTATATTTAATCGGCTCAATATGGAAATGTACGCTTTAGATTGAAAGACGGTTATTTTAAAATTTGACAGCTTATCAAGGGAAAGTTAATGTAAATATTGATTACCGACAATTTTAACTTAAGCTTCCTATCTAAAGTCTGTTTAATAGTATATTTTAAATGCCCAATTATATGATATGTGTAATAATAATAATAATAAATCTTTTATTTTCAGGTATATACCCATAGGTTACAGTTATTATGATTAAAATTTCTTTTAAATAATTTATTACAATTTTTACATTATTAATTATACAAACTATTATTTTATTATAAAATCTGTTGTCGTCAGGTACTCATAATAAATTCATTATTTTTATTGTCACGTTTTTATCGGCAATTACAGAAACAGCAATATGTATGCAAATATGTGCAATACAATTTGTGGGGGATGATTATTTCCAAATAATTAAATGCGTTCATAACTTGTTTATCGAACTTTTTAAATAAACAATCAGAAACATGGAAAATTCTTATATCATTTTTGAAAATTAACGGGAAATTGCGACTTTGCCACACTTCGGTAAGCAAAATTATGAACGCTTTAAATATGTATTTAATATTTAGATATTTTGTACTTTCGATTGATTTTTGTAATTGCAACAAAGAATGCAACGTATATGTACATACTTACACTTATTTTATCTCTGGCAGAATGTTTCTAACAAAGTTTCTATTTGAAATATTTCCAGAAATCTACAAATATGTTTAGTTACTTGTATACAGATGTGGGACCGGAATACCTAAAAGGTTCGAATATATATATATATATATATATATATATATATATATATATATATATATATATATATATATATATATATATATATAACACTATTTTTTTCATCGTCAACAGGTATCTGAAGCATTGTTTATCACGTTTAATATACAAATATATTTTGCATAGTTGCAAGTTTTCTCACGTTTATATATTATTTTCATATATAGATTGAAAATGTGTATTATTTATTATTATTTTATATATTTATCAACAATATGAAGCTTGCAAATTGTTTATTTCGTAATGTGCGGTGTCGGTGGTATGTTTCACACAAAACTTTATGTATACATTTGTTTCGTTTCTTAATCGTAACCGGAAATGGGATGTGTTAAGAAATTTGAAAAACTGTCTTTTAAAAACCATATTTGCACTACATTACACTATCAAGTATATAGGATCATATCTAGATCAAACTATGACAATATTGATGTGCATATATTACTCACTAATCTTTTATAGTTTTGTAATATCTTGCATACCTTAAAAACACCCTAGGAAGATCACTTTCATTTCAGTTTGTGCCTTTCTATTAAAAAATAAGCATATGATCATATGTATTTGTCAGTGTAATAAATCCTTCAAGACTAATAAAATGGCTATTAATATAGCTCCACTTATCGAAGCGTGATATACTCGTGATGATGATTGTTTTCATTTTAATATATACTTAATAATATAAAATTGTATATCCACTGTGATTTATCTGTCCATAATTTGGGTAATACGTGGAGTAATGTTAGATATAAATGCATATAGGGTAGAGAGATAGTTGGATAGTTTAAGGTAAATTTCACTAGTTGAATTGTAATCGGAGATATTTTTTTGGTTATCATCTTGGCCCGCCAGTTTAAAGATAATGATTTTTATGAATAAATACATTTTCAGTGTGAAGAATTGTTTTCCACTTAAAAGAGCATTCATTATGCAGAATGTAATTTTATTTCCTCGTTTTCTCAATTCCAAACATTAGAAAAATTACGGAAGAACGATATTTATTTTTATGTTAACGAATAAATAATTTCCAGATAGACTTTCCATTCAATTAATGTAGGAAATAAAATTTCTTACCTTAAAAATAAAAGCGTTAAATTAATTACGCTATGAAATATATAGGATTATAACTAAATCGATATATCACGTTATGTAATTATTAATGCACTTTTAATATTTGATGTATTTACCTAATCTTATATAGTTTAGTAATGACTTAGTGATATAACGTTTCTATCTTGTATGTATGGCTAAAATATTGGTAGGATCCTATATATTTGACAGTGTAATATAAGATATCCATTAATCGTTTTTAATTGTGCAGCATATAGTTTAAGGACAAATTTATAATTATAACAAATTATATGTATTCTGCCCTACTAAGAAGAAAAAGTAAAAGTAAAAATTTTATGAAAATAAGTGTATAACATTCCCAAATACAGGAAAAAATATAGTTTTTATGTAATACCTGCAATAAAGATTTAAGTAAATCAAACTTATCATATTGTATTTTACATAATAACAAACAAGTTACATCATAGTTTTTATATTATTATTTTCCCAAAACTAAAATATCAACAATCACACTTTTTCTTTTTAAAAGGGCAATATTATAATAATGATTAAATAGTCACTTTTTTAATTGAAATATCCACGATCGCCATGCTCATTATAATTTTTATTATCACTATTTGCTAGAATACTAACCTGCATATTACATACGCAGACAATAACTGATGTAGGTTTATGCCTTTACTGTGGTCTTTATTCTTAAACCGTAACCCTATGATCGGTATTCTGATATGCGAGTCAGTCGACATCAAATGGTACCCTTTAATGTTTATCGACTTGTTTGTCAAAATATCGACCCTGGAGTGAAGGCTTTAAGAATTAACCTGTGAGTGTAGTTGAATCATTGTATTTATATATTAGAAGTTAAATTATCAAATCACACATGGATTTAACATTTAATTACAAAATTTGGTGTTCGTAATATTTGTGTTTTATACATTTATAGCTAGCTATTTTTGTAATAATTCTGTCAATTAATTCTAGTGCAGATGTGAAATGATCAACAATAAATATAAAAATAATAATAATGTAAAAATATATATTATTTGCACTATAATTGTCACTAAGTTCAATAGTGTTTATATTACCATTATTAATTGGATAATGATAACATGAAACTTTAATTATTTCCGTTGTTATAATTATATTTATATTATCCTTAATTATGACTTGTAGATTTTTAGTTATTATTTGTATATGTATAGAATGTTTGAGGGTAACGAGGATAGGAACTTTGAAATGTAACTTCAAAATAAATATCGTCGTACATTCATTGTTATAAGTGTTTTATTTCTAACTAGCCTATACTCACGGTTTTCCATGATATTTTTTATGTGAAGTGTAGACAAATAGTAGTTTTATTAATGAAACAATTTTTAAAGTAAGTTATGTTCTTATAAGAAATGTAACCCATATTCCTTATTTCTTTAATAGATGATAATGGAATGGTAACCCCGCCGGGCTAACCATATACGCTGGCGGGGCACTAGTAAGGGAGGATAGAGGTAAGTTTTTTTTTTGATAGGTGATAATGGTATGGTAACTCCGCCTGGGCTAACGGGATACGCTGGCGAAGCACCAGTGAAGGGTTAAGGGTGATGAGAATGAAAACAGGCTATTTAGCCCATCATGATGAATTCATCAGGAATTAACCATGATAGTTTCCAGGAAGAACCGCGAGGAGGTAGACCTGGTTGGGTATATTGCTAGCAATGGGATTCGCAGTGTCCATTACTAACAATCCCTCCCCCCTCCCCCCCGATAGAGGTCAGTTGGCCATCGTGATGAATACACCTGGAATTCAGCGCCGATCCAAGTGCTTCTCTGGATTTTCAGGGTGAACCACGTGTAGGTCAATCTGGTAGAGTATATTACCAGTAATGGGATTAGGTCCGCATTACTAACAATCTCTTCCCCCAAAATTCATTTATATATCTATACAGTTCGTATTTACGTACAAGCTGGCAAAAGAGCAGCTATCCTTATTAATCTTAAGCTATTCTTAATCTATATTAATTATAATTATAATAAAATATATGCGGAAGAATATAGATGCTGGCAACACTGACATTCACGTTAAATGTCATTGCCGTTGATGATTTAAAGCAAAATTAATCACTTGTTCAGTGTTACCAGTGTATTGTAATTACCAAACATAATTACAAATTTTGTTTATCCTATATATGCACGATATTACGCGTTCGATTATTATAATTTTATATTTTCCAAGTATATTATATATAAGTACATTGTCAAATAATAATCAAGTTTATACCTAATACTTATTAAATCAATGATATCAGTGGCCATTTGGCAATCGCGTTTATCAAATTATAATTAATTAGAGAATCAAAGTATATTACGCTGGTACGCAACTACCATTTTGCAGTAATATTTTTTTCACTATAAACACTGCAAAGAGTAAGATAATTTGGCTGGGGGAATACGATTGATCAAATAAGTAAACCAGGAGGGAAGGGATTGTTAGTAATGAGGAGATTAGTCCCCATCGCTATCAATATACCTCATCAGGTCGACGTCCATGCGGTTCCCCCTGGAAACTATCGTGACTAATTTATCGTTGAATTCGTCACGATGGGCTAACTGACCTGCCTTTTCATTCTTACCAATCATTCCTCACTGGTGCCCCGCTAATTTATACCGATAGCGTAGGCGGGGTTACCATTCCATTATCATCCAACAAAAAAAATAATAATAAGAAAACCATATTCCTAACATAAAGTTGCTTAGATAAAGTTGTAAACTACAATAACCCTAACTAATAATAATATTTATATTGGAAATTATGAATATAGCTTCACTTTAATTCACAATTCTATTCAAAGTTCAAATGTGTAAAGTGTTTAGTGCTAGATTTATATACAGCGTACTCTCTGACTGAATTTAACATTAAGTACATACGCGTCTTTTTTAGGGGCCATCATTTTCCCCCTCCCCAACTTCCCCCTCCCAACTCTCTCATATTTTATGCAAATTAAACTTATATTTCGGTGTGATCCCGGCATAGAATAGGCCACCCCTTCCTTTCTCGTGGGTGTCGTAAGAGCCGACAAAGGAAGGGTGAATGATGGGCAGCAGCGTCCCTCTAGTCTAACTGCGGTTACAAAACCCCCCTGATATATATATATATATATATATATAATATAACAACATTTTATTTCCATTTGATATGTTGTTACTCACAATCAATTTAGGTATATCCATGTTATTTACAAATACATAAGAGTAAGTAGGTATGACTTACAAGGAATAATAAAACTGTTGTTAGTCACCCAAACCCCATAAAACCTAATGGTCGGTGACCCCAGTTGTCCATGCGACGTTCCCTATTATCAATATTGACGAGGCTATTGTTTTCATGTTGATAGGTTGAAGTTGAAAGTCCTACAACATTAAATAAATTCCAATCCTCATATTTACTGCATGATCGAAGTAGTTTTCTTACTTATTAACGACATCTATTGGAGAATATCGTCAAAATAGCAGGCTTGCTATAAAAGTATAGAACCTGCGGGGCTGCGCCCGCGCCGAGTCGCGTTATACGCATGAGCAAACAGCGAGTAACTTGAGCAACATGCCAGGCAAGGTATCATTCATCAGTCACAGTGATCGCTGCTGCACGGACGGTGCTTTCGTGCGCCTTTCCTTCATGCAACATAACAATCCGGGGAAGGCAGTGTGTAACACATCACCAGAATGTGACTAAACAAGTGTAATCCTTAGAGAATAACTTCCCTTCACCTTCCCTAGTAACTAAAGAATAAAACTTTTTATTACTTTCTAAAACGTATTTAATTTTCCGCGTGTGTCTCGTTTCAAGCTCGCGCCAACAAAACGTGTGTGTGTATAAATAAATATTAATTTTATAGTGTGTTAAGCTATACCCGACATGACTATATCGTACGCTGGTGAAGTTCCAAATGGCAGCAGTTTTGGTTGTTTTTGGAGGATCCTTTGCAAGTAAGTAATAGTCATCTGTCAGTTTGGAATCGCCGAAGACAGCCCCGGGTCGACGCATGCGAAACAGCTGTTCTGGGCGACGTCTACTCATTTCTCATAACGAAGTGTGTGCAGAGTTAAATATTATATACTATTAACAATAGCACCCTTATTCTGTCGAACCATTGAGGCAATGCTTTATAAAACAACGCTATTTTCCATAACAATATTTATCCCTGCTTGTCAATTGAAAGTGTGTTAATAAATAAGTAGTTGTATAAGAGACTGCGAGGATCAAAACTATTAAAAGTGACCTTGGAGCCTCTGGGGCGAGGTGATGAATGTGACTTGCCCGCCGCGAGCTAATATCGATTCAGTCAGTGATCGTTGTTCGCTTGGCCCTGGCAACGAAATGTGGCGAAAGTAACCGTGACACATGTGGGTACCAATCGATTAAAACTTGATTCGATCATTAAAAGATATCACTAAGTACCTAAGTACCTACCTACTAGATTCTTAGAATGATCAACATTTGAGTATACTATAATATTTACCGGATATTCCCAATATCATCAAGTCTTAATTGCTATACATTAATATTTTTCTACAATAATTAATTCTTAATTTCAGTAGATAATTAATGTTTGTGAAGGATTTTTAAATACCAATTTAGTCATACATAAAGTATTCCATGCATATTTATCTTACTTAAATAAGTATAAACCAGAATCCAGTTTCACTATGGTGTAGTTAAGATTTTGTACCGCTATGTCTAGTCTCAATGGCGACACATATTTATTTTGTTTATATTCGCAAACTAACAACCGAACGGTAAATGCAATATGTCACAATGAAAACAATTTTTACTATGAATGTGAACTAGATACATAACAGGGCCAGTTTGTTCACCCCGTAACAATACAAAAAAGTTATTGTAGCCAAACCTGTTGTAAGTCTGTCATGGGGATGGGCATTTTAATTAGACCCACCTATATAATTCATTGATTAAAATCAAGTAAATGTTTTACTTAAAAATTTCAAGATCACTTAAACAATAAACTTAATAACTACTTAAAATTCTATATTGTATTTTCGATTTAATGAAAGTTGCAGTATTCATAACAAATAAATATTATTTTTGACAATCATTTGTACAGGAAGATATCTATTTTGTGATAATGTGGCATCTATTTAAGAGAGTGTTCTATCAACAAAATTGATCATTATGCAAAAGTAACTACCTATTTGAAAGTTGGATACACCGTGATATTATAGGAGGCTCTAATTTTGTTCTCACTTTCTTTGGTTTTCCCAAAGAAATGTTAGCTGAAAAATGTCTTTTATCGGTTGAACGCTCCTTTAGGATGGTAATAAATTCAATTTCACCTTGTATTATTATTTCCCCTGTAAATACTTATCCAAATATACTGATTTAATAATGTTAGTGAAGCAAAACATAATGCAGATCTATAAATCGCAAGTATATAAGGAATCAATGTGAATCACTTGAACAATTTCTTTTTAGAATTCAAGCATGGAAATAGGCAAGAGGCAGGATTTATTGTAATACCTAATTCACAAAAATTCCAATAAACTTGTAACTATATATAAGTAGTTAAGTTGTAGATATTTGGATTAAGCTTTCCATAAATGCTTACCTCTGATAGGTAAGTATTTATTGAAAGCTTAATTCAGGTTGTCCAATTCGTAGGTCTATTATTATTAACAGCTCTCTAATCTCTGGATGTCAAGGAATGCCAATGCCTCTAAAAGTTTTTAGTATCGCACATAAATCATACACAGCTCACATTTTATTCGTTTTAGTTGCATTCACTTTGTTTACTTTACACCAATACTATTCAAGTCCACGTAATTCTATGCTGTTTCGGATCATTGCTTTGACGTTTTATATGAACTTGGATTATCAGTATACGTTACTATTGTGAGAGCCTGGGAAATGAGGCCTATTATAAGAGAATTGGTACTTTTATACAAGCTGCTGTTTTCTATTTACATCAAACGAAAGAAAGTGCGATTTATTATAGTTGAAAGTGATATGTTATTAAATATTGGTGTCATTTAAAAAATATAAATCTATCTCATGCACTTAACTCTCTTTTTTTGTAATTGATTCCTGTCATAATTCTAACCATGTAAACTTTCATCTTATCCCATTATGATTTCCAGATTTTTAAGCCGTTCTAAAGAAACGCTCTCAACCATTAAAGGCAGTATATTATCTATTTTGTAAAGAATACCACAACACTGCGTGGGACGATATTAGTTGATTCGGATTCCAAACTAAATGTTCCGTAATTGATTATTTAGTGTCAAGATATACAATTAGAAACATCTGGAATTCCTGTAAAATTACTAAGCACATGCCAAGTATCAAGGTCATTTAGAAATATTCTGAATTATTATTTTACTAATGGTAAATGTAGAGGGAAAATTCAGCCCATTAACGCTCTTAAATTTTGTATAACAAATTACTTTTATTTTTGCGATGTTGATACAAGTTAAAAAAGTGAATAGAATTTAGGAATATGCAGTATTCGTGAGAATATTCTATTCTGATAGGAGGCAATATTATTAATACTCGTACATAATTAGATACCTTTGTGGAGAGCTTAGTACGCCATTCTGTGTCATTATGATGCCCCTGTACTACAATGAAAATAGACCCAGAAAACATATCCCGTAGCACATTGTATTGTTAAACAGTTTTCAACCGTCATTAACAAAGGAGGAGATGGTTGTATTTTTTTAGGTTCAGTACTCCGTTATTTATAAAGCGATTTGGAAAATTATTTTTCTTTTTATCTAAAAGGATACACTTTCAAGTTGAGCCTAAAGGATTTTCATCAAAATCTATTTAGTAGTTTAGTTTTTAAACAAAAATAACTAGTTTTGTCCGCTTGAAATCGGATTTTTTTTGTGTTGATACTGAAATTCATATTTTTGTATTATTCAGATCTATTCTAATTTAAAACAGAATTTTCTATCATCATCATCATATCCGCAGTTAATCGTACATTGCTGAATATCCTATCCTACACTGGGCCTATCCCATAAGGATGTTTCGCCAGTAATTGCCACGCACAACAGGTGGGTTGGCAACAGCAGTTCAGCTTTGGTGATGTTTTAAAAAGGACGCTGCTGCCCATCCCTTGAACATTAAGTTCCCTTAGTGGCCTCTTACGACGCCCGCGGGAAAAGAAGGGGAGACCCATTACACAGTAGTACACTTACTTTCAATCTCCATGTAAAAAGCCTACGACTACTTACCTACTTATCTATCTAATAAATTATGAATATGCTATCTTTTGTTCTTCTCGCATCAGTGATTTCAATGTGAAGTGACAAGTGACAACCAAAGTTAAATACTTATTTGTTATTTAAATTTTATTATTGAATTGCGGCTGCAGTAAACAATATTTTCATGACTAATATGATAACAATTACCCGTGTAATTGCATTTGTATGGAAAATATAAATATCAGTAAATATAGTCACGTACTGCTGAGATTATGGTATAGTTTTGTGTGGGTCATGTGGTATATCACAGTCGTATGCTATCTATTTCTACAACGCAGCTGCAATACGTGTTTTGATGCCTTTATGCAACACAAACTTAGGCCAATATTCTGGCCTGTGTTTTACACGCAGTGTAAGACTCAGTAGGCAGTTTTTCACTAAAATCATAATTGTCTCCATCTACTTGCAATAAAAAGGCAAAGCAATAGTTGTCGGGGGAAGAAATCGTTAGTAACGGAGACTTCTTTTGGAAGGTTATATTGTTGGACTAGGTCACATCTCATTACTAACAATATACCCGCTCATTCCCAACTATAAACTATCGTGATTAATTTTTTAATTGGTCACTTGTACTCCGCCAATATGTAGCGGTAGTACAGTCGGTATTCCACTATCATTCATTAAAACATATTCTTTGTGTGTGTGCGCGACGTCCGTGCATCCCCTAGCGAAGATTTACCTCGTGGTTAATATTTAGTTCTTGACGTTGAACCTGAAGTTGACCTGACCCATTCTTATCGTTTCATCCTCCACCCGTGTGCCCTTTCCGGCTAAAAAACCTGCAACAGCCTGCAATGACTAAGTCACCCCAAAAACGACCGCTAGCACCATAGACTGGACAACTCGATTCTGTCACTACTCAAGCGGTTTGCTTTTACTAAGTATATTTAGTAAACAATCTTGGCACATGTTTTTATCGATACTGGGTACTCAAAGACAAGATTAATAAAAAAAAAATCTTAGATAATTGCCACGAATGAACACGGTATGTAGGTCACTCTGCAAAAAATCATCTTCAATCGTGAACTCGTATAAGTATCATGTACAATAAAATATCTCTCACTTGTACATAATGTACTAATATTATAAATGTGAAAGTGAATTTGTTTGTTTCTTCGTTACCTCTTAACGCCTAAACAGTTTAACCAATTACTACTTAATTTGTTGTACAGATACTATACGGAATGGATAAGCATATAGAATATTTTTTTATCCTAGTCAGTGAAACTGTCGAAGTCATGCAAAGTTACGTGTAAATGCTAGTTGAAAATATTTTAATCGGGAACGCGGGTTAGCGAGTATACAAGCAAATTTTGTTTCGCAATAAAAAGTTTTTGCCACACAACAGCGTCATCATAGTGCTGATATTGTATAAAAATATTGGGGACAGTATATAACAAATAATTTTTCCTACGTGCTTCAAACAAAATGATTGATTGCACATTATGTGTATTCCGATTTGAACAATTATTTCACTGCTGTATTGAAATAATTATATATAATATGTACACTATGGTACCAACCATTGAAAATAAATTTGCATTTGTAGACGTAAAACATTTCGAATATGTAGGTTGATATGGACTTACTCATATACTCTTAATGTTTTACGTTGTATATCGTGAATATGTTTTATATATGTCCTGTGATGTTTATTTATTATTTTTAAAGATATGGGTATTTAATTACAGGATATTTTGTACAGTATCGTTTAGTTTCAAACTAAGTAAAGCTTTTTTTACTGCTGAATATAGAATGGTAACCCCACCTTCGTGGGGGGAAGAGATTATTAATGATAGAGAAACCACAGTGCTATTTTTTTTTTTGATGGGTGAAAATGGTATGGTAACCCCCGCCTGCGCTAACGGGATACGCTGGCGGAGCACCAGTGAAGGGTGATAGATGAGAATGAAAACAGGCCAGTTAGCCCATCATGATGAATTCAACAGGAATTAACCATGAAAGTTTCCAGAGGGAACCGCGAGGAGGTCGACCTGGTTGGGTATATTGCTAGCAATGCGATTCTCAGTCTCCATTACTAACAATCCCTTTCCCCCCTCAGTAGACAGTTAACTGTTGACGTGATGATGATGATGATGATAATGATGACACTAGTAGGTTATAATCAACATAACACAGGACACTTAATATGTATATTTATTCACGCAGTCGTACCCGCGGAAAACAGCTAGTTGATCATATATCTACATAGTTAAAAAATTTTTATTTCCCAAACACGCTTGGATTGTGTGCATATCGGGTAGTTCTGAGAATCGGCCAACATCTATTTTTCATACCCCCCCAATGATAAGGGTGACCCACCCCTCGTTTATTTTTATTTTTATGACTATTTTTTTTTATTTTTGTTTTATTATAATTTAGCATTGAAAAATACAACTTCAAATTTGTAGTACGATAAATTTTCATGTTTTCATATAGTTCTCGAAATTATATATATGGTAAAACAATGTTTGCCGAATCAGCTAGTATGTATATATATATATATATATATATATATATATATATATATATATATATATATATATATATATATATATATATTCTGATGCGTTTGTCTAAAATGACACCTTGCCATTGCGTCACTAGCTACGGATCTACGAAAGAAAGTTCTTTAGTTGCATATAATTTTAATTAATGATACCGTTCTATAAGTGTTTAAACAAAAAAAAAAATCAAACTTGTTCTATAACATATGCAGATTGCTGTTACAAATTCTTTCTATAATTTTTTTTATTAGGAATCACGTTTTACATAAAAATGTAATCCAATTTTTATCTGATTCACGGACCTGTCGTATAATTTTTTTTACCTCGGAATTGTTTGTCATTATCAATCCAGTTTAGATTGATTTAGCAATCGCTTATTAGTATCATGGACTTTGTTACAAGGCTGGTTGACACTGATACAGTAATTAGTAATCTCGCACCTCAAGTATCCCATGCAAGGTTTGTTGAGAAGGTCGCATTGACGAATTTTGACGGCTTCTAATTTAGTATTCTGTGTGTAGGAAACCATTGCACTGTACATGTGGGTTCGATTGTGCGTTAACCGATTCCGTAACCTCTGAACGGCTCATGTGACTAGTCGGATCACGGCCAGAGTAAAGGAAAAATTCTCCATTCCATAAGGGTATAGGTATGCCATTTTTAGCAAACATATATAGCATAGCCATAAAGAGATCACATATGCCAAAAGTAACTATATCTAATAGGTACTATTAGTATCAAAGAGCATTTTGAAGTTCTGATAAAAAAAGAAATAGGTTTTGTAGAATTTTATTTTTTAAACATTTATTTTCATATAGTTACTAATTTTATACCTATTATTATTTTATATAATTAATTTTATTATACTCAATATTTTATAATTTATGGTATCAAATAATAATTTATTTGCGTGACAAAGCCGCAGTGTGCAGCTAGTTCAGAATATTGCCTGAATAGACTTGACTGACTTTCTAATAGCTAAAACATCGATGCACAATCGGCTCGTAGGTATATAGTTCGATAAAAGTAATAGAAACGATAAGTTCAACATTATAAAAAAAAAATTAATCACAATCCGAAAAATAAAATAATAAACACTTAGGTACATCTTTGCTAACAACGGCATGATAAGTAATCTGGACAGGAAATGTGGAAAACAATAGGTTACAAAACAAAAAAAAAAAGTAATTCTCATAAAACTGGAATTTATTGGCATGTAAAAAACTTTGTGATCGTCATTAACAAACAGGTTTGCATTTTGCCTTGCACAAAAAATTAAGTTACCTACAAACAGTATCAACTCATGAATAAGTAGAAGAAACAGTAATATGAACATTATATCTTGTTAAAAAGCCTGAATATTATTTTTTACTGCCGACCCACCTCGGTCTAACACGGATAGAAAAGTTTATAACTTTTACCTGCAACTTGGTCCGTGACCGTGAACGGTATATGTTCACTGATCAGGACAAAAGTAACCTATAACCTTAGATTATGTAGATAGAGCATCGAGTCTCAAAAACGGGTCAACTTTTTGTCAGCTACTTGTCGAATTAGCTGACTCGTTTTCTTATCTATGTTCTATATACTTACGCGCATAATGTATCTTGACGTATCTATATTTAATTATTTAATAAATAAAATTAGTTTTAACGCATTAAAACCATGCAAAAATTATGAAACAAAATAAATATAGAAGTTATAAAGGAAACACCCATAACTATTAATCACGCGAAATTGTATGAAAAAGTTGACCCGCTTCTCTCGAAGTATTTGTATGGAAACACTCTATCTATATAATCTAAGCCTAACAACCTTCTAACCTTTTCCATCCCATATGGTATATATAGTATGTACCCTATAGGATATACATATACCTATAAACCAAATTTTAATAGTGTTGGTTAAATCATTAAGATGTTAAGGGGTGTAAATGGAACGCACCCGCTTATACTAACGTATACAATGGCAGTACACTACTGAAGGATGAAACGATGCGGATGAAACGATTAGGTCAGTTGGCCCGTCGTGGCAAGTCACTAGAAATTAATCACGATGGTTTCCAGGAGTAACTGCTTGGATATTGTCTTAAAAGAATATATAGCAATATATGGGGATTAACATCCTCATTACTAAGAATTACCTCTCCTGATATAAAAAGAGTCCATAGCCCTCTTCATGGCCCAATCGTCGTATAAAAAAGTGTTGTATAAGGTGGAAAAAAATATTTACCAAGTTTTCTTTTTAATTTAATTTAGAAATCTCATTAAAAGTTTAAAACGGCAGCAATATTTTTATTAACAGAAAGGGCGATTTCGTTTGACGAGATGGTTGTGCGTGCCGACATTACGCCTCGATGTGGTAACACGATAGCATTCTTCCTAGTTTCGCCACAAAACACAATTATTGCATTTGATAACCAATGAAAGAAAGTTTAATATTGCAAACGAGGCCAAATCGAGACGACATTCTTCATTGATTACATTTGAAAACATTATCTATTTATATTTCAAATTATCTTTGGACTTGATGTACTGTGTTTATTGTCCTAATTTCTTATATCTATATTCCGGAGATAAAAATAAGGAAGATATTGTTTTTTTAATTAACAGAAGTGAAATGGTAATCCTGCTTGATCTATTTGATTTCAATCTATTTCGAACTTATTATTTAATATCCTTGTTTTTTTATAAGTTGTTAGTCCAATATGGATACACCGTGCAATATACAAATCGAAAATATTTGGATATAACTCAAGAAAGTTTTAATTATAAAAAATCTGATGGCCTCGCCTACTCTTATATATTTTTATATGTTCTACTACTTTCGGGACTATGAAGGTCTACCATTATTCTTAAGAGGTTATGGAAGCGGACTTCATGTTTACGCCTTTAGAATAAGCGCAAACCTTTTAGATTCACAAATAACAAGTTCATGGTCGTTATTGCTTTTATTACTGAAAATATAATAAGCGAAAATAGATCGAAATATAATAAGCGAAAATATAAGAAGCGTCACTACAACAGCACCACAGAATAACTGCGTAATAGTACAATTTTGTTTTCTCTTATTTCTTTCAGATGGAGGGGGAGTGTTTACAAGCTGGTGTGGCGGGAACTACTAGCATATCTCACACTCTATTATACCATCAACTTATTATATCGATTTGCCCTTACAGAAGAGCAACAGAGGTAAGTTAGCAAGTAACAATAGTTTTACATACTTTATGTAATTTTAGTTATGTATTACTCTTAATTTTAAGATTTATAAACGTTCCACTACTGCGTATGAAGTTCCTTCCATGAAAACAGGTGGTCTACCATGAAATGAAATTCCGAATTTTCGGGCTCGATTTCGGTATAAACAAAAACACGAGTTTTTGTTCGTACCGAAATCGAGCCAGTAAATGGAGCTTAACATTTCGTACATCATAAATCCTATTCTAATAGTCCAGAGGAACGATATTTTAACATTTTTAATAATGTTAAACGGCATGTATTATGTAATTTTAACATCAAAATTCTGTTTCGTTCGTCCCCAAAATTTCGGAAATCATTTCATGGTAAGTCTACAGGATATAACCTGGCGACGTAGGCCAGGTGAATTGGTATAGGGTTTTATTTTGAACTTTTAATCTATTGCACATGTATTGCACGTAATTCCATATCGTCTTTTACGACTTCCAAAGAATGAATATAATATTTTAATTTATTAAACTAATTGGGCAACTGAGGAGTACATACCGACTCGAACATAATAATAGTTTTTGCACAATTAAATAAGCCGCTACTTTATGATACAAAAAGTTTAATTGACGAACACAATCAAATAAATTATATGAATTATAATTGAAAAAAAAATCGTAACGTGTGTTTACAGTCCATAAATTCCTCAGATCAAACACTAATGCGAAATTAAATCACGCTCAACGTTATTGGAAAATTATACACAATAGATTAATTCGCAGTTAGTAATTTTCTTAATTCACAACAGATTGGTTTGGGAGTAATATACCAAACAACGAGATAGCTTGCTCGAAAACTGTCCCATCGGGAATAAACATTGATTTTCTATATCTATAAGATATATTTGTATCTACAAAAGATAAATTAAATCAGAAATTTAGACTTTACCACAAGGAGATTTTGCTTGAACATCTCTGTCCCACTCATATTATTACACTAATGTTTGCATGCAAGTGTTTTGGTTTAAAGGATGGTGTACGAGAGTGATAATAGAATCTCAAGTACTCAGAATTGTATTGTCTTGTGTTACTGTATTCTAGTAATTCTTAATACCCTTTTTGAAAAGATCTTAAAGTGATATAAAAAGAAAGGGAAAAATGAAAAATAAAGAGGGGTATATTTAAAAATAAGTTGGAAAATCGCTTTATTAATTGTATTAAAATGCTTTTCAATGTTAGAAACATTACAGTTTATGCTAATCTTCAGTATTGAGTGCCGTGAAATCCGATTTGGCAAAATCCATCGACATTGTTTGAAAGAATGTCAATGTTATTGTATTAGTGACCTTAAATTATTAACAGTACAGCACATAACAACTACTTAAATACTGTAATATAATAGAAATTATCTATTATATTTATGTGTATTTTTACATAATATGATAATTACAAATGGGATGCGTAATGAGACATAGAAAGATGGCGACGTAGCACAAGCAAAAAATGGTGCGATGAATTCAATTAAGTATTCCGGATTAGATCACAAACGTCACCACAGAGAAGCAGCAAAAAGCAATTATTCGTATATTACGAGAGGTATTATATGATCACTCAATCGTCAGACCTTCACTTCATGCTATAGCTACACCATAGACAACATAATATGCTACACTAATCGTGAAGATGATGGAGAATATCTGCGATTTATGTTGCGGAATTGTTCATAACAGAAACTAACGACATCCATCGAGTTCCTCCTGGAAACTATAATGATTATTTTTTGTTAAATTCGTTAAGATGGGTTAACTAACCTCATTTCAATTCTTATTAGTGCCCGGTCAGCATATATTGAAAGGGCAGGTGGGGATTACCATTCTATTATAATTATATTAAAAAAAAGTCTCCGCTAAGAGTCGTGAAGATTTTAGTTCTTCTCAAGTGAAGCCAAAAATATTACAAAGGATTTACGGTCGCGACACATACTTATGTTATCTTCACAATACCCGAGCGCTATACTTGTCTGTTAATTAATTACTTCCACTTTGTTTATAGCAACAGCCCATTCTGACAACGCATACCCGCGTCCGGGGGTAGTCCGGGGGTTCCAAGATCTAATTCCGACCTAAACCTCTAATTTTTAAAATATTATGTTATTATTAAAGTCTATTCTTACTTACTTACTTACTCGCGATTTTATAACGGATTTATTTTCATAAATCACGTGTTTTAATTATATATTAATATAATCCTAGTCGAAATTTACATAAATGTTTTATAAAATAATGCATCCATCATGGACTGCAGTTTTTAACATAATACACGGTAGACCTCAGTAATGGCAATGAATGAAGTACACCATAGTTGGAAGTCAAATTGCGTTAAGCGTGTATTTAGGTAATTGACGTATAGCTCGAAACAGCAAAACTAGATGAATTGAAATTTTATTAAAGCAAGCCGAACTGAATACTGATAGATTTGATGTGCTGTCAACTAGTATTCTATTCTCAATAGAATGAAAAATTGTCATGAATACCTCCTGAATCTTATTTGTACCATATTATGATAACTGTATGTGTTACTCGCTATATCGGACATAGCAACTTGTAACACAGGTTTAGTTCAAGCTCCAAGCTTCCACGAATAAAGCTGTTTTTTGTCTTTCATTTAAGTAGTATGACTCTTGGTTTTAGATGTAACTTCGTACACTGAAAAATTAATGATAAAAATTAATATATTGCTGGCTCCAACTTGCTGGAGTTTCGTCAGGTGACCACAGAGTATTTGTGTTCAGACGTTTTTTTGTTTGAGTTAAATCTTTTTATATTATTTTTGTTATTTTTTGTGTAATATTCCTTTTTATATGTAATTGTACTCATGCTTTCCTGGGTGAGCGTATTGGAAGACTGTAAGGCTCACCCAATGGATTTAATAAATAAATAAATTAATAAATTAATCATTGTTATCTTCATTGTTTACGATTTTTAGTGTTAGTTGTAATTTATAAGTGCACTTGAGATGTGTGCCTATAAATCAATCACAGATCAAATTTTTTATCTGTATTCATAACTAAAACGGAACTTAATTTTATTTTCAGTTCCTAACAATTTATAATTACTTATGTATGTATAAGTATAACTATCTAGTAAACATTATCCGCCTAACCATAAAAGCATAACGTCTATTTATGATTGAACAAAAGAAAACTTCTTATTAAAAATATAAAATGGTTTAAGTAATAAATTGTATTATAATTAATCTATTTGGCACATAAAATTACAAATAAACATTATTCACCGACCAAACAATGTTTTAATAAACAGCATTTTAAAGTATTTTTGTGGTTACACCGTATTATTCTTTTAATAGTATAAAATCATATTATCTTTTATTTCTGTATGGGATCAGCAAAGCCATTGCACGTCGACCCATTGGGATCTTTTGTGCTTCCTCCTATCTTATACTATTGTTTTATTAATCCTATGTATTCCATTTACGATATCCCGCGATTTAAGATATCTATAGTCTCGAACTTTGGATAAGCCGTTCTCCGTAGACTCGTACGCATACTTGCCAACAAAGCACAGTTGTATATCTAATCAGAACTTCCATGGATCCCTTACAGCACAATCATATACATACCATACATGTCCGAATATATACTCATCTTGTATAGTATATATCTTACTGGCATATGTCCAGTTAAGGCACCCATTATGAGTCTTGCCTGTTGTCTGCCACCATTATAGATGAGCTTATACTATCCCTCAGCCATGTCGATTAAGTACTTTTTATAATGCCTGAGACCCTTCAAAGTTCTTTTGCTGTTTTAGCATACTCTTCAAAAGCATAGTTAACGACACTTACACAAGTGCGACATATTGTACAGAAACTATAATTTTTTATTCTGATCTTCTAGCCAACTCATCGGCCTTTTCATTACTTTTAATGTCCAAGGATCCATACCAAACTAAACCTATTGTGCCTACCCAAATTATTTAGGTTTTGAATAGTATGTATTAAAGTTAACTTTGAATTCACTCTTGTTAATACAAATGCATTGATAGTCGCTTAACTGTCACTTAATATATAGATATTTTTGTTTTTCAAATCAAATCCAAATTCATATACGCACAGGTGGCAGCGTACATTTCTGTTTGGAAAATAGAAGAGTATTTCCCTGCGCTTTAACTTATTTCACTTACGCATGAAAAGATACCAGCTCCAATACCTTTTGCTATTTTGGAGCTATCCATATCAATATAGGTTAGTCTCTATAAGAGATGGTGGGTCATGTTTCCACTCTTCTGTCTGTGGTATATAAAATTTAAAGTTCCTTTTGAAAATTTACTTTAATGTTATTTTATCACACTTCATATCCATGTACGTGTTCAAGTCTTCATCGACTTCCATTTTTGTGTGATTTGGAAGTGGCATAATATTTTTCAAAATTCTGCCTTCTGCTATATATGAAACTCCTTTCTTACCTCCTTTTCAATCATTATATGCAGTGGAAGTAGATTCAATATAATATCCATCGCTGCTATTGGTGTGCTCTTAATAAAACGATATTATATTATTAGGTATTTTTAATTTTTGATAAACTTTGAAACCTTATATTTTGCTCACGTGACATTGCTTATTAGATATGAATCTTATTTGATTGAATACTAGTTACCAGCAGTAAAATTAGTTTAGTAAAGATTTTCTTTGGGATGTGCTGTATACAAGTGATCTGCATACATATCTCTGACTTGCTCATGTTATTGTCGCAAATCATCTGTGCGTGTATGGCTGTGTATTTAAAGGATGGAAGTGAAATTGCAACTACATATGAAGACGACAAAGCCGTGAACTGAATTCATGAATAATATATAGGACTCAATTGGAGCCCTATATAATAACATATAGGGCTCCTATTCAAAGTCGTCCTCTGGTAAATGTTGATATATAGATATATGAACTTTCATATAGATACGGGTTGTAAAATAAATCCATCAATTCGATTGT